CTTCTGGATGTCACCAGCGACGGCGGCGCCAACGTCAGTGGCGGTGCCGCCGTTGACGACGACGGTCACGACAGCGAGTACGACGACTTGCTTGGGTTTCGGTATGTAGATGATGATGAAGGGGAAGATGATGACGATGAGGACGAGGAGGATGGCTTTGTTGACGATGATGACGGTGATGAGGAGTTCTTTGCGGCGGTGGCGGCGGCGGCGGCGGCGGGGGTGCCGCAGCTTCAGGAGGACAGCAGCGATCCCGGGGATTGGGACTGGAGCGACGATGACGATGGTGATGCCGAGGAGCAGCAACAGCAACAGCAGCAACAGGTGGAGGTGGAGGTGGAGGAGCACGACGAAGAGGATGTGGGCATCTTCCGGCTGATGGCAGCTTTAGAAGGAGGCGCGGTGGACAAAGGCGAGGTGGTCGCCGCTGATGGTAACACCGGCACGGTGGAGAACAAAGTTCAGGATGCTGCTGATGCTGCTGATGATGAGGAGGAGGCTGCGAAGAGGGAGAAGGACGCCAGGGCTGGCGGCAAGGGCAGGGGCAAGGGCAGGGGCAGGGGCAGGGGGCGCCGCTAGGTTCCGTTACTGAAGCTCTGGAGCTGGCCCGTCTCTTCCCCCCTTGCATCTCCCCCGCGCGATTCAAAAGTTCCAGATGACGATGTGGTATCTGTCTGTCTGTCTGTCTGTCTGGTGTTGGGTGGAGGGAGAGAGCACGGGAAGATCTGTAGCTGTTGTGTGTGTGTGCTCTTTCGTCATGTATTGTATGCCTTTGGGCCGTGGAGACAGACCGTTGGAAAAGCAGTTGAGAGTTCGTTGGGTAACGGGGCAACCGTATGCTGTCTCTTTTGAGATTCGTGTTGCTTGTTGGGTCCCGAATGCGCGCGGAGCCGTGTGGTGTGTGCTGTACGGCGTTGTACGATTAGCTGTATGTAGCATTATTTCTCATTTTGCTATACAGTAGATATGCATGGCATGATGCGCTTTGTCAGCTCCGTTTTGTGCATTCGGTACTCGCTGTACAGGTTTGATAATCACTTGCACCCGGGTTGCATCGCATCCCTGGTTGCCTTCACATCCCCATCGTGGACAGATTGGAGAGAGTGGTGTGTGTGTGTGTTTCCTCCTGTGTTTGTATGTATGGATGTAGCTCTGTATGTATGTAGGTGTGTGTATGTATGTAGCTCTGTATGTAGCTCTGTATGTAGCTCTGTATGTATGTAGGTGTGTGTATGTATGTATGGAAAGAGATGGCTTTTCAAGGGGATTCGGATGAATGGTCGGATGTCGATTGATGGTTTGGGTGTACGGGGATCGGATTGTGGGGAAGGAAGGCGAGGGGATGCGGGGGTGTTGGGCCCCGGGTAATTGTGGCCACAATGATACACCCGGTTTGATTTTGGCGTGGTGCGGTGCGGTGAGGTGGTGTGTACTGCACAGCGGCACAACCATTGTCAATTTGATCAGCATTATCATCATTGCCACCATCATCAGCATCATCATCAGCATCATTGCCATCAGCATCATCATTCATGCGCGCACTTGCATGTGCAGATCGCCATTTTGCACGAAGCGTCCTGATTACATCCTCATCACCATCCTCGTGTCACCGTCATCATCGCCATCGTCATCATTATGATAACAATCGGCAGCAGCAGACGCTGCTGGGCGCGGACAACTTCAGCTTTTTCGTTCCGTTTTTGTACCACCTGTACACTACACCTGGCACAACTCCAGCAGGAGCTCTGTTTTGAGGCCGCACGAAGCGGTGCCGCTTTGCCGCCTTGCCGTGTAGACCTTGCCGTGTAGACCTTGCCGTTGATGTATGCACCCATATGTAATATATGTACAGACTACCTGTATCGTACAGGAGGAGGAGGAGGAGGAGATTCAGGCAGCATGTCGCCGCCATGCCCTCCTCCACGGCCCCACACCGCGTTGAGATCCGACCGCCTCCTTCAGACGGTCTGGGTGGGTGGGCATTTCGGGTTTTGTGTTTGACGTCCAAAGGTGATGAGGGGGAGCGAAGGGGTTTGGGGTGGAGTGGGAGTGCGCTAAGACTGTGGTTGTTGGAGCCGAGGTCTGCGGGGCAGACACCTACCCAGGTCCCACAAGAAGGCAGACGAGAAGAGAAGACGCGCAATGTGTGTGGTTGTGGCCATTCGCTGTGTATGTGTGTGTGTGTTTTAGCACGCCGCGGCGCACTGGCACACCGCGTATTGTTAATCACCAGGAAATATATTTTTTGCGTGTTGTTGTTTTTGTTGTTGTTACTTCGTGTGGAGATTTTCCAGCGGCGAAGGAAGGAGAAGAGAACAGCATGTCAGCATCAAGGGGAGGAAATGTCTTTTTGCCTTCGTGTTGAAAAAGCTTTTGAAGTTGTTGAAGTCTTGTCCGCATACGCAGTTGCCTTCGTGTGCGCATGTGTGTCCGTGTTCGTATGTCCACGGAGCCGGTACGCTCACATTGTCGTACATTGACATTGTCGAAAGGAGAAAAATGATCTACGTCTTACGGGCGCAGACACACATACAGAGATCTTATGTCGCGTGTCGATCACAGAGCAAGATGTTGTTTCAGCAAGATTTGAAGCGCACTGCGTTCTCTGTTTGTTGTGTAGATCAACAGCACAGCTGCTGTATGTAGTAAACCTTTTTGTACATTACACGCGTGAGGAACACACGAGGACACCGATATATGCCCTCACAGGAAAAAGAGGAAGTGACACCCCACAGGAGGTTTGGTTGTTGGTTTGGTTGTTGGCTTGTTGGTTGCGAGGGAGGTTTCGTTTTGCCCGGGGTAGGGATCCCCGCCGGGGGCTCTGTGTGGTGGAAAGCGAGGGCTGCAGAGGGAGGTCATCAGCGGTCGGGAAGAGAGCCGTCCGAGATCCGGTGGTGGTGGGAGCAGTGGGGGAGCAGTGGGGGAGCAGTGGGGGAGCCACCCGGCGGAGGGGCTGCAGGGGGCGGCGCACCCGGTGTACCATAATGACCTTTTGTTCTATGTACTAGTAATATGTCCTTTCCACGGACTGCTGCTACTACTGAGTGTTTCACTTTCGCAGCAGCGCAATCAACCGTAACAGCACGCTGCTGCGGCCAGCTGTTAGCTCGTCTGTTATAGCTCACTAGACGCCGACTAAAAGCCCTGCTAATCCCTATTGTTGTAAGAGGGTACAGCTAACTTGTAACTTTTAACTTGCCAACTACGGAGGGGGGGGAAGATTGTAATCAACCCGCCGCCGCGCCCGTGTCGATAGACGCTGTGAAGAGTGTCGTGAAACCGCATGCTCACCAGCAGCAGCAGCAGCAGCAACAGTAGCAGTAGCAGTAGCAGTGGCAGCAGCAGCACCAAGAGGTCCAGAAAGGAAGGGGACCTGTGATGGGGACGGTGTATGACGGTGTATGTACATATGTACATATGCGTATATGTGTTTATATGTGCATGCGGCAACAGCTATCAGGACCGCGGGAAAACCCTTTTCTTGCGAACTGCGTTTGGGTGTGGACGGGGCTGCCCGAGGCAGAAGCAGTTAACAGAAAGACGCCGATACCAAGACATCGATGTCTGTTGGTCGTACTCTTGCGGAAAAAAAGCTACGAAAATAGGAAAGAGTGTAATTCCCGCTTCGGAAGAGCGATTTGCTCAAATGCCCGTTTTTTCCCTGGTTAGTAGTGAAGTAAAACGGGCAAAAAACCTAAAACTCTAACTGTAAGTCAATAGGCATCGAAAGAGGGTCATCCACGCATTATGCTTTTTTGTGTAATGGTCTGCTCGCTCGCTGCTGCTGCTGCTTAAGGTACGCCATCACGCATTAAACCTTAGTCATATGCCATGGAATCAGAGCTCCGCATGCATAAACATTTTTTGACACAGCATCACGCATCGGCTCAAAACTGCAATCTATCCCGAGAAATGTTCTATACATGTCATATGCGATATGTGGTATGCGGAGAGGAAAACTGATCGCCGGCCTGATTGCCTGGTTACGACAGTTACCCCGCCATACAACCAACTCTCTATCCATGACTCAATTAGTTTTTTGAACTGAGCTATTAAAGGCGGTTCTTTCGATTGCGGTCCCGCGGTGACCCAGATGAACTGACCCCCGGGTCGCCAAGCATATCGCGCGCAGAAGCGCAGACTTATTAATTAACAGTTGCCGGCACCGCTTCTCGCTGCTGCTTACTGGCTTACTGCTGCTACTGCAAACGATGATGTCCATTGACCCCACGAGCAGAACTACCGGACTTGGAAGCAGCTGCGCGCCGCACCCATCTTTCGTATCATCGGACATCGCAATCGTGCGTAAACTTTACGCGTCATGCGACTCGTATATACTTCCTTTAACGTGACATATGTTTGACAATTAAAGAGCAACTCTCCTCATACTTTTCCTTTTTGGAGAGCAATTTCTTTTCTTTTAAATAAGCCCCGCTTATATAATATATAATTTCGCGCAGCCGCTCTCCCAGGGACGGGGTGGGAGGTCAGTTTCGCCAAGTTACGTCCGAAGCGAACTCCCGAGGAGCTTTGCGACAACGTGCACGGCGGCCAAAGGGCCAAGTCGTCAACAACTAACCAACTAACCGCCACGCCGCTTACATTCCGGCACGGGGCTTGTCAGTAAGGCCTGGTAGAGCCTCGCCAGAGAGCTGGAGAGGAGACCTGAACTATCGACACCGATGCCAACGCCAAGGCCAGCATAGAAATTGTGGGAGCGAGACGAGAGACAAAGGCAAACGAGCCGATCTTCTTTTGCGTGCCTGTTTGCACGTTCAAAACATCGTTCCCAGGGCAAGAAAGGGCGCCAAGGCACATCTTAGCAGGGTGACTGCGTGCATTTGAGCCAACGACAACAACAACAACAACGTCTTGGATCAGCTACACAGGACTTATCCATCCATAAAAGGCGCGCTCATTCTGCAAGCCACATTTTGACTTTGATATCGGGCGCCTGGCTCCTATTTTCAGCGCGAAAGACTTCTAGTCGGGGAGACGACATGGCCCGTGCAGCAGAGCGCCCTGAGGCGCTGGTGCTATCCCTTCTCCAGCTGGTGGTGGCACTTGTGCTGGTGGTGACGGTGGCGGCGGCTCCTCCACCACCATCGAAGACATCTCGACATGTTGGTGAGAGAGAAGCAGGGAGGGAGTAGGTCAGGGATCGCGCGCAAGGGAGGACAGAAGCAGCAGCTCCTTCCATGACGCCACTTCAAGCTTTTACGATTCGTGTCGCCTTTTTTTATATTTTTGTTCTCTCATTATGCTTAAAAAGTGAACGCGCGCTGGCCGGAAGCGAGCGAGGCAGGCGGTCCAGCAGGTTGAGGTGATTCCGGCGTCGAAAGGAGCACTGGATTGCACCGGAGACAGATCGCAGCCAGAAGAGAGAAACTGAATTCGTCACGCCTCTCATAAAATGCGCAAATCGGTGGTGCGAAGTGCCCACACCCAGCAGCTCTCCCAAGACCTTTTCGGTCGCTTCGGCCTCGCGATCCAGAGCAGCCTGACTTGCAAAAGGCACGGCTTTTATATACAAAGCTATTAGTTCGTATGGTGTCGACGATCAATCATCATGGAATGGGTGTTAAATGCGTCATTTGCGATCAGCTCGCACAGCGCGTGGCGGGAAATGGTCCTGGCGGCAGCTGTGCCACCTCTCGGGGGCAGTGCGGCGCTCATTCCGGTTCGGGGGCTGTGCACACACAATGAGCCAGTCGGGGGCTCCGCGGCAACAAAAACAATGCCGTCATCATTTGGAAAAAACTTGGGAAACATCAAAAACAACACGAAAAACATGTGCGCATGCATATTCCGTCATACTTCCTTCTTCCACGGCCCTTCGGGTCTCTCTCTTTTCAAATCCCAGCATCGGTTTACGACCTACACTTTGCAAAATTTGGCCTACATCCGCCCAATTTGTTTTTAGTGCTTGAAACACTTTTGATGTCGGTTTATTATTATACCTTCCATGTGACATTATGATGTATAACTAATAATTTAGCTTTTCATCTCGCCAACCTTAATTGCTCCCCGTATTCCCTGTCCCCTCAGGCAGGCGACTTGCCCAGGACCAGGGCGGCTCCAACACCGCAAGCACCGCTCAAGCCATCGCGCAGGCCATCTCAGGCGGCAACACGAGCGCTGCCGCCACCGCGATAGCTCAGGCGGCCGCACAGGTCGGGAGCCGCTGCGAGGGGGGGGGAGGGAGGGGAGGGTGATGAACGAGAGTCAAGTGGAGTGAAGTGAAGTGAACTTTCAAGCACTTCGATTTCGATTTCGATTTCGATTTCGGTTTTCCTGACAGACCTGACACCAACCGTCATTTCTGGCTTCCTTGCTGCCTTATGGTTCCCCCTCCCACTGCCCCCCCAGTTGTTATCTTAAGGGCGGTCGTTGTACTCTCTCCCCCCCTTCAATCCTCCCCCCCTCCCCCCCTGGCAGCAGCTTCACTGGTGTGTGGTTCGTTTTTCCCCCCCTCCCCCCCCCCCTTTCCCCCCCCTTCCCCCCCTCCCCCCCCCCCCACACACACCTGCAGGGTAACACACAGGCGCTGGCCGCAGCGCTCGCTCTGGCCTCCGCCTCCGGAGACACACAGGCGCTGGCGCAGGCTGTAGCTCAGGCCGTCACCCAACAGGGAGCCAATGCATCGGCTGTAGCGCAGGTGTGTATTGTACGTCTGTAATGCATGCCGTTTGTCGTACGTGTGTCGTACGTGTCATGTGTGTGTCGTATATGTGTTTTTAACGGGGCTTGGTGTGTATAGTAGATGGGCACTGAGACGCGGCTGTCCTAAGGTTGGAGAAGAAGGCAGTTCCGTACCGGCACGCGGAGTTGTACGGCATCAAAGATGTCGATATGTGGGATGTTAAGGAGACGGCCCGGGGGGGGGAGTGGGGGGGTATAGCCCTCGTGGTGGTGGTGGCAGTAGTGGCGACATGGATTACCACTGGGTGGTGGTAGTGGGGCCCGGCCAGAGCCGATTAATGCGATACCTACGACAGCTACTATGTGTGTCTGTATGTATGTATGTGTATGTGTGTGTGGCGGGCAGTGGAGGAACGGCATGGTAGGGGGTGGCGGCGGCGGCGATGGAGAAATGAATGGCTGGGAGGTCGTGTGTGTTTGGTGGGGAGGAGGGAGGGGAGACCCGGTTCTAGGTCCCCTAGCTGCTGCTGGTGGACACACGCACCTTATCCCACCTACCTCCCCCCATTTTTTGGCCCCCTCTCCTCCCCCCCCCTTTCCCCCCCCCTCCACACACACACACACACACACACACACGCCCCCACAGGCGCTGGCCAGTGCGACATCCGGCGGTGCCCCAACGGGAGTGAGTCACAGTACTCTCCAGGGGGGGGGGTTGCGGCCACCTTCCCACACCCCAATTCCCCCCCCCCACACACACCTCCCTTATCCCCGGGGCACCGTGTGGTGCTCGGGTGCCAGGGTGGTGCAATGCGTGTAGGGGTAGGCTGTACAACGACATGTGTTGAAAAAGTTTGGAAACGCGTTGAGGCTCCTGAGGCTGGTGGAGGGGCGAATGTTGTCGGCAATGGACAACAACACGGCAACGGCACATTGGATCGCCGTCACCTCCCCCCCCCCTGCTACTGCTGCTGCTGTTACTTCTGCTGCTATTGTGTGTTGTGTTTGTGTATGTATGTATGTTTGGATACGTGAGAATGGCATGTCGACAAATAAAAATGCTGTGTGTCGACACATATATGGAGATAGATAGACAAACAGACAAACAGACGGACGGCTGGAACACTAACTAGTAGTTCCTGGTGGGGCAGGGTGTTTCGTGTTCCCGTGTTTTCGTGCTCCTGCGGCCCCTGCTTTTATTTCCTCTGTTGTCGTACGCGAGCCGTAACGGCTCTTGAAAGGATTGGGTTGGAGATGGATGATGCCATGGAGACCGGCGGCGTCGCTGAGTGAGGACTTGTTTTCTCTGCTGTTACTGCTGCTGCTGCTGCTGCTGCTGCTGTTGTTACTGTTGGTACTGCTACTGCTACTGCTACTGCTGCAGGGAGCTGCCGGCGCCCCCGCACCTCCCCCCCCGGCCAATGCACAGGCGCTCGCCGATGCAGCCGCCAGGGGGGATACCAACACACTGGCTAACTCTGTGGCGGAGTCGTTTGGAGGTACGGCATGTGTACGGCACGTCTATCACTTTCTCGTCCTTGCCCCAGTCGGGCAGTCTTCCGGCGCCTCGCCGTCACATCTACACCTGCATACGGGGATGCATCCCGCCCAAGTCGAACACACCTTCGTAGTGATAAGGGAACACAGCTCTCACTGCAAGGGCTGAAGAAAAGCGAGATCATTGAAATGTTCTTGTGTGTTGTAGTTAACACAAAAAATTTGTCGTTTTGAGGGTTGCGGTACTCTCAAAAAAAGGTCATTCCTGTTGGTGCCGCCACCCCCTGCAGGCTCGGTCACCTCCGTCGCCCGGTCCAACGCCGCCGCCCTCAACGACGCCGCCAACGCCTCCGCCGCCGCCGTATCCGCTGCGGTGGCCCAGGTCTGCGGCGGCGGCGACGCCACGGCGGCGGCGCAGTCACTGGCTACAGCCGTTGCTACCGCCACCGCCCGGGCCTACGCCAGCGCCGAGGCCAGTGTAACCGTTACAGGTAAGGCGAGTTGGCCAGAACCGAAATAAGAAATGACCCATGGGTCAGTCGGTAACTCGTATGGGTTTGTAACCCTTAAATTAACAGCTTTGCTACTGCTACTGCTGCTGCTGTGGACTGTTCTAATTTTGAGATTAGACCCCAGGGGCTTGTGGACCCGTGGGTCGGTCGGGTTTCGACATGCACGTGGAGTGCATCCATCGACTCCCCCCCCCCACTAGGGGTTTAGTACCCGCGCTTCCGTTGCTGTGCTGGCAATGCTCCAATGACGGCAACTCCAAGAAACCCGATGGCCGAACCCGATGCCAGTCGTACAAGTCGTACAATACCCGAACACCCTTCGGGGTGTTTGTGCAGGTTCCGGCAGCGGCTGCGCCAACGCCGCCGCCGCGGCCACCGCCACCGCCCGCGCTGTTGCGAGTGCCGTGGCGGAGGCCTTCGCCGCCGCCAGCAACGGATGCGCCCAAGCGGTGGCGGCGACGCGCGCGGAGTCCCTTCAGGAGTCCATCGCTACAGCCACCGCCACCGCCGCCGCCAGCGCTTGCTCGACAGGTGAACGACGGCGCGTGTCTGCCTGTATGTCTGTATGCCTGTTATGTTACAAGCTACAAGTTCCGCATACAAGTGCGGGTGTGTGTCCGTAAAAGCCGGGGGGGGCCATGGACGTTGTATTGGTATTGATACGGGTACGTGGGAGGTCATCTTCATTCTCCCTCGTCCGCTTCAGGGCGAAGCGCCTCAGCGCGACGTGCCTGGCCTCCCAGATTTCCAAGAGGTACCTGGCCAATGCCAGGGGTGGCGCCTCAGTCATAATGGTGCGCATGCTGCGCCCCTTATAAGACTAGATCACCATCATACTTAGCCCGTATGCTCTTGTAGAGCGACATACATAACTTGGGGGTGGTAATTTTCTTATCACGACACAGGGTGCTGAGCCCAAACGCGGCCCGCCTCCCTGCTGTGAGTAGTTGCTTGGTACATGCTGAGAACTGCACTCCTGGGCCATAGTGCAACCCGAGATACCGTGCCGTCTCGTTGCCGGTCAGCACCCGCAACCCCGCCCCACCTAACCGGTACTCAGCTTCCATAAGCCGCTTCCGCTCACGTGTAGTGCCCCCAAAAATGAGGACCTCGCACTTGGCGGCATTCGCGGCCATACCCGTCGCTTTGCAGTAGGCTTCGAGTAGCCCCAGAAGGCATTCTGCTCTATCGTGCCCGGTCGCCACCAGTCGTCAACGAAAAGCAGGCTGGTGAAAATTCATCGCCCGCCAGGGTAACCCTCTGCTCGCGGAGGGTGCTCCATCGGCTAGGGAGAGGTACACGGCAAGTAGCATCGTGAGCACCAATATAATGAGCGATTACTTCTATGAAGAGTCCAAAAAGGGTTACGCTAAGGGGGCACCATTGCTTAGCACCACGCCCCACCGTGAATTCAGGTCCCAACCTACTCCCCAACTTGACCCGAACCTTCACGTCAGCATAGCTAGCCTTCAAAGAATCGAGGATGCGCCTGTGTAGCCCGTACGACATTAGGAAATCCCAAAGTGTCTCATGGTCAACGGAGTCGAACGCCGTACGAAAGTCAATTTGCATGATAATAAGCGGCCTGGCTCCAGTCACAGTGTGCTTCATGAGATAAGATGCCTTCTTGTAAACAAGTGATGCTCGGTGACAAAACCACGCCTACATCCAACCTGGCTAGCGGCACGTAGCCTATTATTGCCGTTACAGAAATTGGTGAGTCGTCCCCCTAAAAGATACTGTGTCATTGCGACCATACAAGGGGTCGAACCTTGGACCTTGCCCTTAGGAAGGGCACGCTATATCCACTTAGCTATACGGCCATGTGTGTGCAATTCTGCATGGATGCTTCTACCTTGGGGAGGTAATGAAGTGTCACCTTCGTCTGTAAGTACGTATACGATCATCAGCAATACACACACACACACACGCACACGCACACGCAGTGTCCATGCCCTGTCCCGGCAACTCCCCGGGAAACACACACTGCGGGTTTGATAACGAAACTCATCAGCATCCACCCCCCCTGCTCCCTCCCGTCACCGCACCAGGTGGTACGGCAGCTGCCAGCACCACCGCCGTCGCCACCGCCGTTGCAAACGCCACCGCCTCGGCGTTCGCTCAGGCCTTGGCGGCCGTCAGTGGCCCCTGCGGCTCCTGCCGTATCCTCACCACCGTCACACCCTCACCCTCACCCTCGCCGTCCCCAAGCCCGTCGCCGTCGCCATCGCCATCGCCATCGCCATCGCCGTCACCGTCACCGTCGCCGTCGGCCGACATGGCGTCTCTGCCGTCGTCCGGCATCACCGCGCCGAAATGTTTCGGTTGGACTAAGTCCCTTTGCTGTGATCAGTGGGACCGGTCCTCAACCACCTGTAACTGCGTGCCGTGAGTGATGCCCTGTGGCTACCGGCGCTTGGATGCGTGCGTGTGCGCGTGTTTGTTTATTGCGCGATCATGATTGTGTTTCTTAGGGTACGTTCTTAGGGTTTAAATAATCGTCACATGAGAACGTGAGAACATATGTCTGTCTGTCTGTTTTATAAGATCAGTCCGTATGTGTGTGTGTATCTGTGTGGGGGGGGTGGGGGGTGGGGGAAGAAGAGGATAGACGGGAGAGGAGATTTTTGCTGTGTGTTCGTTCGGAGGAGGAAGGAGGAGGGCTTCAGATGCGTCACACAGCACCACACGTACCTTCTTCTCAACCTCCCCTCTTGAGCGCCGTGCTTGACTCCCCATTACCTTAACTCCCCTTAACTACTTCACATTCTAAACAAGTAGCACCTGGGCTGTTGTCTCTTTTGATTTTCTTCCACTCGATGATGCCCCCCTTCCCTCGCCCCTTATCCTCTTCGGCCTCCTTCCTCCCCCGTCTCCCCTCCCCCCACCCGTACCGTCCCGTCCTGTCGCTCAAAAAAGAGGTCTTGGTTGCCGCTACACGCTGTACCAGAAGAGCCCACCCTCCTGGAAGGACAGGTATTTCGGCTCCTCCTGCTCCTGCTGAAGAAATCAGCAATCCATTGGTGGCTGCGGCCCGGCCGGCCCGACGGAGAGGCTTATGAACGAGACGGCTGTGGAGGGTTATTGAGCAGCTGGACGGTCGGAGGATGGGTGAGGGGTGCTGTACAATGAAGACGTAGAAAATGAAAAAAGGTAAACGACTCTCCGCGCCGGTGCTGTTCGGTAGGAGGTAGAGGAGGTATAGGGGGGTTAGGTAGGGAGTTGGGGGTCCCTCGCATGGGCTTGCAAACAAATAACAGATTAGCCTGATGATGATGATGAGGCTCGTAAGGCCTGAAGGCGGCATGTGCGGCGGCTCGGAAGGCCTGAAGAGGAGTAGTGGTGCAGGGCATCTGGTGGTGCAGGATACAGCCCCGGGGGAGGGGACGGACGGACGGACACGGGAGTTGTTTTGGAGAAAAGCGTTGCATTAGTTGATGCGTCGGTTGCTTGGCTGGTCATACGAGTACCGCAGCGGACTCGATACATGTCGTTCTCTGACACTTAATAAAACATGGACATCCGTTATGCATTCTCATGCGGGCTTGTACGGCAGCCCAAGTAGGTGGACTGGGTTGGTTATTTTTGTTGGTTGCTGGTTAACTGAACATTTCGCTCATGATGGGAAGACTGACTTGAGGGTACGGCAAGTGAAAAAAACGCTCTAGTGCCGCTCCTTGATTGAAATAGTCCAGGTTTTAGGTTACCCATTAGGAGCATGTATATAAAAGCCTACGGCAAATTCGAAAGGTGTACAAACACAGTCCCGTGGGTCGTTCCGACCCCCTTAAATGCCACCCGGCGACGACGGCAACGACGGCCACCCGGCGACACCTGTCATCCCCTTACATGCAACAGGTATTATCATACGACATTATACTTCCGATGGTGTCGTACGTCGAAGAGGCGATCGGAAAGTTGGGGCAAAGTTAAGTTAAAACTCGCCACAATACCAGGTTTTACCGGCTCCTGAATCAAAGTGAATGCTTCAGCTCAGACACTGCGTGCGGGAGTCACGTCATCAGCTAAGTATGACTTATGTAGGTGCGTTACATACAACACACATTTCGCCTTAAAAAAAAGCAAAAAGCGTAAAAAGTTTGTCTTACGGATATACGACGAGCGTGTACCCCCTGCTGTGTGCGCGAGGTGCCACTGTTTCCCTCACCAGGAGAGATCCGTCGGTACTAATTTGCGGCACTACAGCAGTACGGCATCCGTACAGCACTGTACCGGCAGAGCCCTACGACCAAGCCTCCACTTGGTACCTCCCCTTCAGCTCTAGCTGCCGTACAAATGCTACCGCCGCTGCCGCGTCCAGCCCGCCGTGCCGCGCCGCCACGTCAGCAAACGCCGCCGCCACACCCTCCGGCATCTTCTTCGCCGAGCCCGAAACGTACACCGCCGCGCCCTCCTCCGTCAGCAGATGCCACATCAGCTCGCCGTACTCACGAATACGATGCGTCACATACACCTTGCTGCCGCTGCCGCCACCGCCTCCTGCACCTCCCCCCGCCTCAGGACCGTTTTTCACAGCCGCCGTCGTCGTCGCCGTCGTCGTCGTCGCCGTCGTCGTCGTCGTCGCCGTCGTCGTCGCCGCCGTCGTCGTCGTCGCCGTCGTCGTCGCCGCCGTCGCCGCCATCACCGTCGCCGTCGCCGCCGCCGCGGTGGTGGCTTCCCTCGAGAACGCAGTGATGAGTCCTCCTCGTGTTGGGTGCAGCACCTCCGCCCGCAAGTACTCCTCCCATTGCTCCCGGTAGTAGAAGTCCGTGTGGCGGCCACGACATCCGAAAAACAGGTGGCATGGCGCCGGTCGAGAAAGCTGCGACTGCTGCTGCTGTTGAGGCTGCTGGTGTGCTAGTGGTTGCTGCTGCTGCGGCTGCTGCTGTTGTTGTATCTTGGCGCGTTCGGACGGTACCTGTACGGCATCGTCCTGCTGGTCCTCAGGCTCCTGTCGTAGGCCTTGTTGGACGTGTTGCTGCGGCTGCTGCTGCTGTAGCGCTGTCGCCGCCGTCCTCCTCTTCATGTCCACCAGCAGGGCGTAGCGGTCCTCTAGGAAGGACCGGAAGGGCGCCACACCTGACAACAGCGCATCAGCCAGGAGATGCATGTGTCCGTGTGTGCGCATGCGTGTGTGTGTGTGATGTGTATGTATATACGTGTGTGTGAGTGTTTCGAAGCAAGAGTGAAGAAGAGGAGGGCGCGAAGGACTGCCAGTGAGAGGGCGCGGGGGTGCGTGTTGCCGCGACGGACACGGCGTCCTGTCAGATGCGCCTTTCCCCTCCCCCTTCGCTAAGCAACAAAACACTCCCTTCCTCCCCTCCTCCGCCCAATATCCCCCGTCCATCCATCCATCCATCACCCATCCATCCATCCATCACGCTCATGCGCCTCCCTCCGCGGTCACGAGCTCTGCATGCATTCGCCTCTCCCTCCCCTCCCCCCCCCCCCCCACACACACACACCCCAACACGCTTCCTCCCTTCCTCCCCTTCTTCTGAACGACACCGATTTCATCTGGACGACACCCCCCATCCCAGGGCGCTCTCTCCACCGCTCCCAACAAGACACGGACGGGTGCCGTTCCTGCTGTCGGCACCCGCCCCTGGGGCCTTCCTCCGCTGTTCCCCCACCCCTCCTCCCGTGCCGATCCAAAACCTAAAACACACACGTCAACTTGCTGACCTGTCCCCGGCCCAACGAATATGAGGGGTGTATTCAGGGACTTGGGCGGCCTCAGTGCCCCCCGCTCCACCCACACAGCCACTCGGTCCTGCGGGCGGCGTGGGGGCATACACGTTGGGCTGTTGGTTACGGGGTTATCGTTGGTTTGATTGCCTGGGCAGTGTGGCGACCGTGGAGAACAGGAAAAAGCCACGACGGGAACAAAATCAAAGCGGCGTCATCGCCCCTGCCTCCTGCATTTTCCCCCTCACATGCGCGTCCTTTCGCTTCTCTTACCACTTCTCTCTCTGTCGTACAACCGCAACATCACTCCATCACAATTGCCACCACATTTCCAAGTTAAGCGCGGCAATCGCCTCCTTCTCTCGCTCTAAAAGACCCCGCCCCTACACGTGCACACACACACACGCCGAAACACACACGCCGAAACACACACGCCGAAACAGGGCCCCCAACCGTCCCCGGCTAAGTTCATTTTTTCGTATCCCCCATAGTTCGAATTTTCTTTCAATCGTCAAATCGTACGTGCTACGTCGTAACCCCCTCAATAGCTCAATCTGTCGCGTCATGCAACCAACTGTAACCTTGACAAAATCTGTGCTGTGTGTGTTACTGCGGGACGCCCCCCCATTCCCCCCATTCCCCACTCCCCCTCCCGCGTATTTCCCCCCCCCCAAGGCACCTCTCGTTCCCCTTCCGCCGCCTCCGTCAGGTCCGCCTGGACTTCTCCTCCCTTATGGACCGCCGCTGCCGCCGCCGCCGCCTCCGAAACCACCGCCGCCTCAAGGGGCCCCAGCCGCGCCAAGTAGCCGCTACACAGTCCCGTCTTGGGCCGCCGCAACGGCGTCTTGTACGACACCAGCGCCACGAGGAGGTGTGCCGCCGCCGGGCCGCGGAGCCGCTGGCTGCTGGCCAGGGAGAACAGGCGGGGTCGCAGCGGCGGGGCCGACTCCAGCAGCCTCTCCAAAGGGGGAGTGGCGGAGCGGAAGTCGTTGAGGACTTCCAGGAGTGTACGACCTTCTCGTTGGTTGTACCTGCGTGAGTATAAGTATGTATGTATGTACGTATATATGTATGTATGTATATATGTATGTATGTACGTATGTAGGGATGGACATGGTTAGATTAACTTTTTTTGTGTTGGATTGAGAATGCGGAAGGCCCCCCCGTAAGCGTGTGGAGGGGGGGAAGAGGGGGGAGGAGGGGAATTCCCCTTGGGTTTTGCGGTTTTAGGGTTTTGCGGTTTTAGGGTTTTAGGGGAGCTCTACTAGATGTCCTACTCTGACTTCGAGTACTAGCTGCGTGAGTGCGCTTGATGATGCGAAAGCGCTACTGCGGCGATATGTATATGCCGTGTTATACATATATAAGGCCCACAGTGTCGTACACTCGCTCGTTCGCTGGACTGTGTGTATTGCAGACGAGCCGTTCGAGCTCTATTGTTACTGTTACTGCCGCAGCAACTACCATTAATCACTACTCTCTATTCGAAAGGCGAAACGAGCCAAGATGAAGATAATTCCATGACGGGCAGCCAGGAAGGGAGGGGGGAGGGAGGGAGAGGCTTCCATGGCGAAGTGTATTATGCCTTTGGGATGATGATCGTTATCGGCGGACAGACGTTTGGAGAAGGATGCCGTACCTGTACAGGTCATCTCGGCCCTCTGCCGTTGCAAAGTACGACAGTCGTTCCCGATCGAGCTCCACGTCAGCGTAGTGGCGCAGTACCTGGGTTTTCGGGATTTTTAGTCGTTGGGTTGGTTGTGTTTGTTCGTTGGTTTTTCGGTTGTACAAGGTTGCAAATACACATGATGCAAGGACACGGATCCCACCCATACCTCCCCCCCCCCCCCCCGTGTTGTAGGTGCTGGGGCCCCGGACACGCAGATTGGCACGTCCATCAACAGATAGAGGCAACCCACAGCACCCTGCACACAGACTTCCATGCCCCTCGAGGCGGAGGTGTGGAGGAGGGGGGAAGGAGGGAGGGGGAGGAGGGAGGGAGGAGGGGGTCACAACTCGCATGGGGTAAAAAGACGGGTAGGAGGTCTTCCTTTCAAGTCCACGTCCACGTCAGCGGTGCCGTACCTGGAACAAGTACCGCCGTGGGGAGGCGCCGCCGATGTCTAAGCAGCCCTGCATGCATGCATACATACGCACGTGCATACATACATCATAAATACATACATACGTACACCCAAGGAGCCAAATGTCTATTGTAAAGTAAGGGAATATTTGAGCTTTATTACATGAAACAGCTTTTATTACATGAAACAATTGAAATACATTAATGTATGTATGTATGTGTGGAACAGAGGGATATATCTTCACCCAGGCAGCTACCCTGCGAAACCCTGCCTTCCCCGGTCTTTCGGGACACCCTCATCCAGTCACCCTAGTTAAACTTCTCAGTGGATCGCTCAGGTTCCCCACCCACCACCAGCATCCAACGGATCAACGGAAGAGGCTCAACTCCATTCCTGCTCAGATCGCAAGTCAACACTATCCAAGGTCACCACCGTCCATCGACTAGGGGCACTATACCTTCCACCATCGGAAGGTTTTTCGACCCTGACAGGTCTCGATCCCGGGATCTCCCGGGGGCAATGGTCGTGCCTTACCAGTAGTGCCTAACCTATGTATGTATGAATGTGCTGGGCAGGATTATGTTGACCAGGGGTACCCCACCCCTGGCCTGCTAACCACCTCCCCACCCTCCACACACACACACACATGGTAGGGGGGAGGGGGGAGGGAAGAGGGGGGAAACAGGGCGGGGGGTAGCGGACAGTCACCCCGCCGGGGCCCACCTGCACCAGGGACCGCACTCGAGCCACTACACTCGGACCCGCTGCCGCCACTGACCCACGGGTCGCCGCTGCCGCAACCCGGGCGGCCCCCTGCAACCCATCCACCTCCCCCTGCTGCTGCTGCTGCTGCTGCTGCTGTCCTTGCTGCTCCCGGGCTTCATCTTGGGTTTGGCCCTCCTCTTGCTGCCGCTGCTGCCGCTTCTGCATCGCCGCCTTCTTTTCCGCCCCTTCCCCCCCGGGCCCCATCTGGTTGGCCGCCACCCGCACCCACGCCTCCCCGTCCAAACCCAATCGCTGAAGGAAGGCGTCCACAACTGCCTCCGAGGTCCTGCGGATGAGAAGTCGGTTTAGTTGGTTACGTTGGTTGAAAGTTGATTTGTGGGTGAGTTGGTTGTGCTAGTTAAGGCCGGTGCCAACCCCGGTCGAGAAGGCTGTGTGGAGGCGGACTGGGGAGAGCGAGTGAGTGAAAGGGAGTTCGCGGTGAATCACCTGAGGTGAACACACATACACACATACAGTCAACAAGACGACTATCGGCAATCTATGAAGCGGTGGGGGACCCCGGCTTGGAGAGAGGACAACATGGCCACACAGGGCATTCCGGGGACTACAACCAACCCAACCAACCCCACTAACCCAACCAACCCCACTAACCCAATAGCTCAAGCAACCCGAAAGACGGCCGCTCTCCCATCCTGCTGCTGCTGGTGCTGCTGGGGCTGCAGCAGCAGCAGCTGCAACTGCTACGGGTTGAAAAGCCTCTTACGGCCCATAACACCCTAGACAAACGCCGTACTGTAGTGAAACAAAGCCGTACAAGGCACCGATCACGGTCACAGCACCCGACAGTCTCATCCCATCAGCCCCCACTGACAGGGGCAGGATCGCCAACACATCTCCAGGCTCGTACGACAATCCGGATTCTCCGAGATCCAGCTCAATGTGTCGTGTGTCCTGAAAATGATCCGCTGACGTCACCCGGCGGTTGACCTTCACTCGGGCCAGGTACGGCCGCCAGGGGCCGTACGTGTACGGCAATGATGACGACGAGGTCCCCGCCGAGGCCGTCGTCGTCGTCCATACATCCGCGGCGGCGGCGGAGGCGGCCGCCGCCGCCGGTTCCGCGCTGCCGCCCGCGACGTACAGCGCCAGCCGCCTGAAGTCCGCCGCCGCCGCGGCAGCCTCCGCCAACCGCCGATGAGCCTCTAAGTTCCGTCCACCGATACCGCCCGCCTCCGCCGCCGGCGGGTGATGTCGTACTTGCTCGTACAGTCCTTTCACGTGAGGCTGCTCTCTTTGCAGCCTGGCCGCCAGCGCCTCCGCCGCTTCCGCTGCGTCCTCCGCTTTCAGGCGGGTAACTTGGAACTTTGGCGGCCCCAGGGAGAGGAGCGCGTCCTCGGAGAGAACCGGCTGCCGTACGGGATGCGGGGGATGGATGTAGTGGGTATGGGCGGGAATATGGGTTGGAGTAGGGGGGGAAAGGGAAAACACACACGAGTCATTGAAACCTTCAAAGAAAAAGGACCAGAATGTGGCGAGGGGGGTTGGGGTGGAGTGGAGAAGCAGAAGAAACCCAGGAGTACACACCAGACAGACAGACAGACAGACACGCACGTGCAGGCAGACAGGAGGCGTAGGAGGGCGGTACAAACACACGTCCATACAACGTCCATACAACTACACGCACATACACATACTTTTCATGTCCGCACCCCCCTACCCCCCTAACCCCCCAGTCGACAGTCGACAGCCCCCCACCTCCTGCACCCCCTCGGGGAGGGGACATGTCCCGCGCAGGGCCGGCCACAGTCGTACAATCCACGGGTCCAGAGCTCCCTCGTAACCGTTGGGGTGCTGCGGACGGAGAGGGGGGGCCCGGGGGGAGGAGGTGGAGGGGGAGGAGGTGGAGGGTGGAGGGGTCGAGGTAAGGTGCACTGGGCCGCACAGCCAAGAAGGGAATGAGGCAGAATGGGCGGAAACAAGGAGACGAGATGCATACATACATACATACATACATACATACATACATACATACATACATACATACATACATACATACATACATACATACATACATACATACATACATACATACATACATACATACATACATACATACATACATCCTGGACTATTTCCTGGCCGCCTCGCCACTTCCTCTCGCGGCTCCAATCCACACCAAAATCCTGTCTGTACCCTTTAACGCAGGAGAGGCTCCAAGGGGTTCCACCTACGCCGAACCCAACACCCCACGGGCCACAAAACACACACACACACACACACACACTCTCACTTGGTCATCCCCCAAACCTCTTTCCAGTAACGGTCTGGCTCCGAGACCCTCCAACCGCCGATCCAGCTTCTTGGCAACCACCTGCCACGTCATTAACAGGGGGTGACTGGGAATGAGTGACGGTGAGGGGTGAGGGGTAATTATATGGGGTGACAATATCAACTGAAGAAATACAACTGACAACTGGCAACTGACAACTGACATATGAAGGGGATAAGGAGGACTTGACAGCCCGGCGAAGACACACTCACACAGACAGGCAAACAGACAGACAGAGAGACAGACGGACAGAACGACAGATGACGGGGCTGGCTTTCAGCTCAGGAGGAGGGGACTGTGTGGCCCTCCCTCGACCCACTCATCTCATCGCCCCCATATTTAATGAGGGTGCTCTCTCATGTCAAGTACGGTGTACGGATCTCCGTACAGGCACGTGCGGGTCGAACTGTTCTTGACAGTGGTAGGACCCCGCTCATTCGTTCAATGTAACACATGCACAATTTCGTTCACACATTCATGCATACACACACGCTTACATACATATATACATACGTACATACATACGTACACACACGTCGCGCACATCGGTCCCTACTGCTCACGTTGTAGTGGGGGTAACCCGAGTCCCCCAGACCAAACACGGCATAGCGGCACGCGGCCAGGGAGTCCGGAGGAAGGGACTTGCGAAGCAGGAAGCGCCAGAAGCGCCGCATGTTATCGGGGGGGTCGCCCTGCACACCGGAACAGGACAGACAGACAGACAGACAGACAAGACACACAAAAGGACAGACGGTGTGTATGTATGTAAATATGTATGCATGTATGTATGTATGTATGTAAATATGTATGTATGACTTAGATTACACTGTGGGCCTGTGTGTATGTATGTATACACACGCGCCCTTTTCTCCCCCCTGCTTCCCCTTCTCCTTGCTACCTGCAATGCCCACTCCTCCGCCCACCCCTTCCTTCCCCCCCAACACCAGCTCCACTCCCCCCAACCCCCAATTTCCCCCACCCCCCGCCACCCCAACCCAACCCCTCAACCTTCTCCCCCCACTTCCCCACGTCGTACCTGGCCGGTTGTGGATGTGACACACACCACCAGCCGCTCCCCCGGCAGCTGGCTCACATCGTAGCTGTCCATGGCCACCACTCGGGGGGAGAACAGCCGCAGCCGGGCCTCGCGACCGATACGCTCCGCCACATCCTGTCCCGTGCGGAGGTTGGTTTTTTTGGGGGGGAAGGGAGAAGAAAGCCGAGGGGAGATGTAAAACGTGCGCACATACATGCAAATATAACACGGCGAGGCTGCGTGGGGAGAATGTCTTAAAGGGTGTATGCATGTATGTATGTATGTATGTGAGGAGGGGTTTTCGGATTGGAGATGGGAGACATGTTCTGGGGCGGGCTAACCAAATGACGAGACGAATTGGAGTAGAATTGCGGAAGGTTTGTATATAGGTGGACGGGATGCGGGGCGGGAAGGGAAGGGAATCAGAGGTGAGGCTGCCCAGGTGCTCAACTGCGGATGTTTGACCAACGGTGAGGTAGCGATGCAGTAACAGATGTTGCGGGGGGCCGGATATTCGAAGAGACCAGTCAAGGGGAAGAGCTTAATTGTCAAAGAAAGTATGTTGCAGCTTGTGTTGCGAGCTGCTAGCGTTGTTCACATGGCGTGTGGCCGGCGCGCGCATATGGCATCCATCGCATACCTGCGCGTTGCCAGTCTGAGAGCCGTAGAGAATTAGTAGTGGCGCGTTCATACCAGCATAACACACTTCTTAGAACTATGTTGCCTTTTGGTTGAACGCTTAACAAAAGAAACGACTGAGTAAACGACTGTACGACGGCGCGAACGGCTTTTGCAGTAAGAGCCAGACTAGAGCCTAACAAGGACTTTTGCTGTTTAGAGCTTGGACGCCTTGGAGTCGAGCGCTGGTTACATCGACTATCGCAACCGCCGCCGTTTATAGTTTACAGTGTTCTCTTGTCGTTACTTCCGACACCATGGCGTTTATGCCGCAGTCCGTGCAAGATGTGCAGAAGGCAAGTGTCTAGCCCACACCTCCCATCTACGAATATGATCCCAAGGTTGACCCACATCTGCTTTCATACCTCGCTGCTGTCAGGCTGTAGAGACCATGGTCGAGGACATCCAAAAAAAAGTTCTCATCCCCAAGCAGAAGGAGGCATTCTTATGCTGTGCAAAGTGTTGTGACACATCATCGGGGCCGCGCGATCTCGAAGCCTGGTACGTGACAAACGTAATGCTCTGCTGCTGCGGATCATGACCCCTATCGCTGTCCCCGGCCCTAACCCTACACTCTTCTCCCCGTTGCCCCAGCATCGTGCATTGCTCTAAACCTTCTGCGGAGTCTCAAAAGGTTATCCAGCAGGCGTTGGGAGACTTCCAGGCGAGTTTCTTCTTTCGCCCGTCCTTGTCCATCTTTGTTGGCCGGAGACGGCTGTCGCCGCCACCTTCTCCCTCCCTCCTTCCTCCCGCTTCCTCAAGCTCCAACTGCTTTCGGTTGCCTAAACTTTCCCGCCGTCTCCTCAGCTCCGCTGCTCCTCTCCTCTTCTCCTCCCCTCAGCCGTCTGCTCCACCGTGATGCTCCCCAACCATGTTGTCGCCACCCGCTACTGCTGCCCCCTGTACCGTCCAGTCCTATCCCAATCCTCGTTTCCCCTCTCTCCCCTCTCTCCTCCCTTTATCACTCGTCGGCATCTTCAGGAGCGCTTTCAGCGAGCAGCCATGAGGTGCCAAGACGAAGTCAAGGTGGGTGGATGATCGATCCCACAGGGAGGTGGAAGGCAAAAGGGAGGTGGAAGGCAAAAGGGAGGTGGAAGGCAAAAGGGAGGTGGAAGGCAAAAGGGAGGTGGAAGGCAAAAGGGAGGTCTAAGGCGAAAGGGGAAGAGGCCGGGGGAACTAGCGGCGCAGGTGGGTGATACGTGTGTGTGTATGCGCGGGTGTTGTGCTAATTTCGGACCACAGACAGCACTCTGGATCCACAGACAAACAGACGGACAAACTTGCTGGGATGATGGTGTTAAGGTAGCATAAAAGTATCGAGAGAGAGGTCCGCGCGCCTCCTGCGCGGCAGCTTCATTTCCCCCACCTCCCAACCATCCCTTCCCAGGAGAGCCTCCTTTCCCCCCCCCGTCCCCTCTCTCTCCCCCTCTTCCTCTCCCCCCCTGCTCTCCGTGTTTCTTGCTGCCACCCACCGAGAGGTCCTCCTGGCCAACCATCGCCCCGGCGTCCATAACTATCCGCATCCTTTTTCACGGACGCTGATGATGCAACTGCCGCTGAATCTGCTAACTGCTGATTTTGCACCGCTGTGCTGATTTCGCGATACTGATTTCGCACGCACTGCTGTGGCCGCTGCTCCGGCTTCCCCTCAGGACATGTTGGGTTTCGAGCCCTCGCACTCGGACCAGGCCCGAGCACAGGTAAGCGAGCGAACCGCCCTAGTGGGGTAGGGGCTATCCGGGTACGGGAGGGGCGGCTGCGGGGAAGGGGTGCCCCGTGGGGAGTGGGGGCGGCAGGGCTGCCCGGGTTGCGGCGGCTAAGAAACAACTCTCCACTTCCTCTTTACCATTCCATCCTCTGCTACTGCTACAGCTTAACCTGGCGCGTACTGCATTCCGTAAAGCTGCTGCTGATGATGCTGATGATGCTGATGATGATGATGCTGATGATGGTGCCAGTGTGTCCCTCAGCTTTATGTCCGCTTCTCTTCAGGTCTGGGATTTGCTCCCCCCCGTGGGTGACCTCCTTCCCCCCCGCCCGTTGCCCCTCCTTCAGAGCAAGTTCGACGGCTGCATGGAGGCCGCCGGCAAGGAGTTCCTCCAAAAGGTTCCCAAACTCAAGGGCGACCTGTTAGCTGCCCTGCAGCGGCGCTGAAGGATGTGGTGTATGACGCGGTGTGTGCTTCCTGCTCCCGGGGGCCTGAGATTGGCGCGGGACGTGCAGAGTAGATGAAGCGCTGTATTCATCGTGCACCTCCTATATATAATGTATATATACATATATATGTGTGTGTGTGCGTGCATGACAAGAAGGTTTCGGAGCGTCCCGTCCTTTCCTGAGCCTCAAGTTTAGAGCCTTAGTCCGTGAGGTGATGGTGACGTCGGCCGAAAACAGGTATACCTGGAGCCCAAGTACGCGTTCACACGACGATTCTAGGGGGGATGTATGGGCAAGGCAGGGCAGGGTTCAAACGGGCTGGGGACGCCCGGGTTGGCAGGACGTGTTGCGGCGTAGGCAGCGGCGTAGCGCGGCAGTGTGGGAGTCCACATCATGTGCGCCTCTTCGAACGACTGGGAAAAATTAGGCTGTTGCACGGGGGCTGATGCTGATGCGGTGCTGGTACATGCATCAGTGGGGGACGGGAAAGCGTGGGAACCTCTGGAGCAGTCTCAGCAGTCTCCGCTGCCACACGCACTCGGCACGGTATCGCTTAGGCGATGGCTCCTGACAACAGCTAATGATGGCGCATTGCACTGGGACACAGACAGACAGACAGACATCCGGACACAGATACAGACCAGGCAAATGACCGTAGCCTGTAGCCAAAGAGCCCGTGTAGAAGGAACTAGGGGGTATAGGGGGGAATGTGTGAAGGAGGGGAAACCGAACGGGCGGTGGAGGAGGGTCACGAACCTTTTGACGCTGCCTTTTTTGGACTTGGATGTAGACAAATCTGCCCTTTGAAAACGAGGAGGATCCGCGCCTTTGCCTTCGCTTTCCTCTCAGACTACAGACTCTGTATGTAGTTAATTTGGGTATTGGCTCGGGCTGTGGACTGCGTTGACAAGCTGTGCGTTATGCGTGACAATCCCTGGGATTGATGCCCCCCGGGGGTTAGCCCTGCCAGGTCCCCGCGGATTCCGGGGACGCGACCCAGGTTTTTTGTATTGACGCGGCTGCGAACGGAGAGCCGCTTTTGCCGAGGCCGACCTGAATGACAGGACAAGACATCACCACGGAACTGACTAAGAGCTGAGGAGGACGTGCGCTCCTTAGGAAGGACACGGCACGGCAACCTTCTGATTTTATTCGGAAATGCTGGTGGGAAAGAGGCGTCAACCCCCGCGATTCTAACTAGTGAGCCCCTTTCGCACGCTGTGTAGTGTGGTAGCGCAGCGCTGAATGCTGCATGGCCGAGACCTTGCAGTCGGCATGTGATGGCTCTGCTTGTGTCGGCCCCCATGTCGACATGGCTGCGCGGATCATTTCTCTTTTCAACGTTGAATGCTTCCGATTCGTAAAGCTGAATGCATGGCCAAACGAACGGATGATGACCCAAATCGCGTTTCACGCGGATTTCCGGGCTGTAAATTCCGCTGACAAGTGACGGCGCCTGCGCCCCTGTCGATGCCACTTTCTTGGCTTACAATCAGCCAGCGGGCTGATCGCCCTTTTTTAAGTCGCATCTTCGACACGACGCCCTGCGCGACCAGGCCGCTTCAGTGATCCAGTCGAATCCTTGTCCTCACATCAACAAAATGAAATACTATGCTAGACCACACTGCCATCGCCACATAAGCATCGGCTGGTAAGATATCCTGATACCACGGATATCACCGGCCACAGTTCAAAACCCATACCACGAACACGTACACGCTTTTTGCGATACTGTTGGTTAGCGCCCGCAGGTACGCAGGCTTAGCAGTCACTCACGCGTGCGGTCCGAAAAGCAAAAATGGCAAGGCCCCGTGGACGCAGGCACTTCGCTCGATGGCAAAAAACAACGAGTCCATACCCCACCGTACCGTCAAAGGATTGTGATTGCGTCCCCCACATCTATCCTTGGGGCCCCCAAACCCACGGCCCTCCGGACCCGCGCGTATCAGTGCACGGTGTCTCGTGCATCCCTGAACCTGTCTCCGGTTGTTGTACCCTGCTTAATGTCTATTCTTAAGCCCCGAGGTTAATTCAAAGTCGATGGTGCATGCCAGCACATGAGAAAATAGCTTACTAGTCTGCCACGGTGCGCTTCGTCCCCCACGCCAAACCCAAATCCCCGACAGATCCCACGTATACTGCGGCCTACATGCGACCTCCCGCGATACCATTAGACAGCGACGCCCTTCTTCGTTGCCAAGGCTCCTTTAAGCAAGTTGACCAGCTCAGGCTTCGTCGCTAGCTCCAGCGGAGTCTTACCATCGAGACCGCGGACGGTTGGGTCAGCACCGGCCTTGAGGATCTCCTGCACCTTCGGGGTGTCGTTCTCACTGCAGGCCAGCAGGAGAATGATGTCGATGCAGTGCAGGCCCGATTTGAGCATGGCCTCCATGCGGTCATAGGTGCCCTCCGTGGCCAAGAAACCCATGTAGTTGAAATATTGCTCCACGTCATCGTAAGTGTAATCGTCGCGACCTTGACTGCCCACGATGCCTGCGTCCTCTGCTTTGAAGCCGTTCTTGCCGAAGCGGAAGAAGTTAGCAGTCACATCCCGAGGCGCTGCTGGGGCCAGTCGTGAGCTGGTGAATGGACGCGGCACAGCTGAGGCACAACGACGCGAAGGCCTCGTGGACACACGGCAGACTGCTACAGGGCCAGCGCCCGAAGCAAGTACCAATCCCTTCATGGCTATGGTGTCGGCGCAGTGTCTTGTATAGATCCGGACCGTAATTGCAAAGCAGCGTAATTCTAGCGACGGACACAGACATCTATTATTGCGAAAGTGGCAAAGTGCTTTCTCCCCAGAATTGCCGTATAATGTACCGGCCGATCGTTAGATCCGACCCCAGCCATGTCGTCATGTTCTCTGTTATGCATAGATATGCATTCCTTCCCAGTGCATTTCTCTGCATCAAATCCTCAAATATGATCACCAAACAGCGAGTCCCAACTTGTGCTCTGAGCAGCGTTTCTCGATCTATACTCTTAAATCCTGGCCCGTTAATTCATGCATTTCCTTTTTCAAAATATAAAATCAACAGAGCAGTCATATAGATGCTGCAGCTGCAATCCCCCAGCGCAGTCGTTACAAACGGTATTATTGATTATCGAGCACAGTGAGCTAGAATATCAACTCAATATGGGTGCGGTTGTAAGTATTGCACCGCACAAGCACAGGGGCCATAATAAGTAATCGGAACGGACCCGGTACCCGCGGAGTTCCTGAGATGACCTTCTTGTGATGTCTTCTCGTCTATGGCCGTCGGGGGTATGAGGCCCATGTGGCAACCGTGAGCAGTTTGGTGTGCGGCTGGATCTCTTAGGGATCTCACACGCACCCAAGCTGCACTTCAACCTCCAGGATTGACGGAGCCGACTCATTTCAGGGTCCACAGCTAGCGAAGCATCTTGTGGTACTCGGCCTCCGTCCGAAGCACCACGGAGGTGTCCTGATAGCCTTCTTCATGGCTATCCGCGCATAAGCCTTCCTGAAGTTGCTCACCCATATCGAGTCGCATGGGTTGCCGAATCCCCGCCCACCTCGAAGTCGATGCGCGTAAAGGTACCGGTAGGAGCCTAGGGCTGGTAGAGTCAGGCTCCCGTCAGGTTTTGTAGGGCCGTGGTGGTGGCGGAGCCGCTGGAATGTTCGCTCTTGTGACGTAGAAAAAGGTGGTCCGCAAGGGGTGCAGGTCCGCAGGTTGTTCCTCTCAGTCGAAGAACCCCCATCCCCGCATCGAGCTCCCTGGGGCTGCAGCTAAGCCGGGTAAGGGGTGCCATTGAAAGTAAGCTGGAAATGGGCTTGGACTAGCAGGACGAGACAGCCAAGACGTCGCCATATCGTGCTGTACCACGATTTGCCGCGCCATACGTATTGTATGCGTGCTTGTATAGCAATTGAGAGGAGGGGCGGTGGGCGCCAATGCCATTTCCTGAAAGGGCTTCTTGGCTGAGCTATGCAAACAAAGGGGGTGATTCAGCAATGACCTGTGCAACATGCAAGCTTCGCCCGAGACCGGGGCAACTTGCCGCAAAGTCGGCCACGGCCCAAGGATAACAAAGAATATGCCGTCTTGCAATGAATGGCAGATTCGTAACAACAGATCATCAAACCTGATTATACACGTGGAAGCTTGGGGACGCTTGGTCTGTTGGAGCCTTGGCACGTTGGAACATGCGAAGCTGGTAACCCGGTAGCCGGTAGCCCGGTATGCTCTCAACCCCTGCCAGCTGGCTCGTTGCAGTTGGTACGATCGGACAGTTGCTTGACCGCTGCGTAGCACAGCGACAAGCCTCCCACATGCATAGTCGTGAACAACCAATGCTATGCTTAACGTAGTTTAACCGTTCCACCGCAATCCTTGAGAGCATGCTTGGACAATCCTGTCGGTGGCGTTAAAGATGGTTGGAACAAGCCACGGTTACGCTTGGGCTGCTATTCGGATTCTTTGCTTTCCTGGTCATGCGTATAATTATCATTATTCAACTACAAATATGGGTCGTTGAAAGGCCATATGATGCAGGGTAGACTTTTGAAAACAGTCGAACTTCGTTATGCAGCTATCCCTGATCGATCCGGAGGCTTTCAAAGATGGCTTCAGCCTTGGAGCATTTCTGTCTGGAATCGCAAACGGAGTGCTTGACCCTAAGGCGCAGCCCGCTGGGCCTAAGCCGGATTCCAGCACAGCAGCTGCCGCGGCGCGGGTGTCCCTGGACAAGGCTCGCGCGCTGCTGGAGGTTTTTGAGAAGTAGGCCATGGCAGAGATGTTGATCGTCAAAACCGTGTCGCCTCGGCTTTAAGGTCGCACTCCCGATGCGCATGTTCCCAAAACTGCACTAGATCCCTCGCAACCCGCCCGTCCGCGTCCTCTCCAACAGTACTGAACCCATGACACCTCCCTTTATCGTGATACAACCCAGCAAAAACTCATTCTGCCCTCTAATTCCCTCGTCAGCATAGTTTTGCCGCCCAGTCTACGCGGGCCTTACCCCCGCCCTCGGTCCATTGCTGCCACTGCCTGCCGGCCCTCCTTCACACCAGCAGTGCTTATTTCCTATCCTGAACCCCTCCTCTCCATCTCCCCCCTCTCCCCCTTCTTTTCATTCGCCCCCTTCCTCCCCCCCCTCGTCCGCTTGCCATTTTGACATCCTACAGCTGGGCGCCGTTGCAACTTTCAAATTCCCCCGCTCCCGCCTCCCCCTCTCCCGCCTCAACCGCCTCTAGGGCTGAGTCCGAGGCGTTCTACACCCATGGCGAGGTCTCCAAGGGGGTGCAGGCCCTGCAGAACACCCTGGCGGCAGATCAGGCTAAGTACCAGGTCAGTGCCGTAAAGTAGGGGCTCTCGGGCGGCAAGCTATCTCCCTGACTGGCTGGCTGGCTGGGTGTTGGGGAGACGATTTGGGTGAAGGCTGCGCAGCCACCTGTCACCGGGACGTCATTTCGGGTCATCACCCCATCTGGGTCAAGCCCCTCACATCTACGGCAGCCGCCGCCACCATCCAGGTTGCCGGTTTCTTACCAGGGTTTCACCAGGGTTTCCCCTTACACCCCTCCCTTTTTTCCCGCCTGATTACCCCCCCAGCCCCGGCATGCTACAATCAAACGCAGCAAAAATTGCGTCCGTTCTTTCGGACTTGGACAGCTGGCGCATGGCACGTCGGCAGTGGTTCCCTCGACCTGAGCGTAAATCTGGCCCCGCCCAGCTATGTATGGTGCATTCCATCTCCATCGCCCCCTCGCACGCACACACACACACATACGCCGACAGACAGTTAGATAGACGCACACAGACACTTACACACACAGACACAGACACAAATGATGCCCCTGGAATCTGGGCTATGATTGATAAGCCGGCCGGTTTCCTTCCTCCCCATCAGAATCTTCCCTTCTCTTTCCTCCCCTCCCCTCCCCTCCCCCTCCCTCCCGGGGCTGGGGTGGTCCTTGTCCTCCTCCTTGCGCTCCAGAAAGCCCTGGCCTCGTGCAGCCGGCACTCGGAAAAGGCCCGGGAGGCATTCCGGCGCGTGGAGGAGCACAGCAACCGCGTGGGGCAGGTCGGCACCAGGCTGGGAGATAGGCTGCAGGTAGGGATGGAGGGTGGGGGCAGAGGGTGCAGGTAGGGCCGGGGGGAGGGTGGAGTGGGGGATGGGGTGAAGGTGGAGGGGGGCGGGGGGGATAAGGTTACGAGGTGCGGTGTGTGTGTGTGTGTGGGGGGGGGATTATCATTGCGAGAAAATGAACAATGAAAATGAACAATGAACTCCGGAAGGCTTCCAAGAGGTCCCAAACTGGCTAGGGAGGCCTGAGCGATGATGACGTCACCGGCGGTTGTTGTTGTTGTTGTTGTTGTTGTTGGTGGTGGTGGTGGTGGTGGTGGGGAAATGCGGGCCATGGTGTGCCGTACATCCAGGTGGTACCATATCCTATCTGGAACTGGTAGAACCTGGGGGAAATGGAAGTTCGCGTTGTCGCAAAAGCTGTTTTGCGATGTGACCTTACACACGGACCTGCAGCTTTTACTACACACACAAACTCTCTAATGCTCATTGTTGATGCGCGTCTCTGTGTGTGTGTGTGTTTGCGTGTTTCGCCCTTTTCCCCCTCCCTCCTCGTGGGAACCCCCATGGGCCGCACACACGCAATACACACACACACAAACACACACGCGCGCGCGCCCCCCCCTTAGCGTGCCGACGGTCTCCGTAGCCGCGCTCAGGAGTTGATTCGTCTTCTGGATTACCTGGCCCTCTTCGTGGTGCTGCCTGGGGGCGACCTGGCCTTCACTGAGGGCCTACCGGGTCTGTTTTGGGAGGACAAGAAACTGGTGGAGGCGGCGGTGAGGGGGTTGCGGGGGTGGGGGTGGCTGGGTAGGAAGGTGAGGGCGGGGCGGGGGGAGAAGGAGGGGCGAGGGGGGGGAGGGGGGTAACGGGCTGGGAGGGAAAGAGGGAAAGTGAGGTACACACATACATACGGACACACATACGCACATGACTTCTGAGAGAAGTGCGGGGGTATCATCTGTGCATCCAGACGGACAGACAGACAGACAAACATCCTGCAACTACAACATCCTTTTCCATGGATTCCCTTGTTTCATTTTACCCGCCCCCATATGGTTATCGTCGTTCCCACCCACCCCACATACAGACAGACAATCAGACAAACAGACAGACAGACATTTCAGACAGACAGACAATCAGACAAACAGACAGACACACATTTCCCATTACAGTCCTCCTCTTCTTTTCCCTCCTTTCCCCCATCCCGTCATCGCTTCTTAGACAATCGCGCACAAGTTGAGGGCCCTAACTTCGGAAGTGGCGAATGCGGGGGAGAGAAACAGACTGGCTGGAGCGGCAGCGGCGGCGGAAGACGCCGCGGCCGCAGCCGCCGGCAGCGGTAATGCGGCGGCGGCGGCGGCTCCTGGAGGCAGCGGTAGTAGTGGCGGCGGCGGCGCTGCCGCCGCTGCTACGGCGGCGGAGCGGCCGGAGATGGAGCCAGCGGTGGGGAGCTTGGAGTACGGCATTCGGCGGTTAGGGCAGTACTGCGTGTGGTTGGAAAACCGTGTTGTGGGCAGGTGGGTAGGTGGACGGTTGGGTTTGGGTGGTGGGCATTTTGTGTGGTGTGTGTGTGGTGTGTGTGTGGGGGGGGGGGAGGAAGGGGGCCCGACCATATGCCCGTTCCACCACCGTCACGGTGCATATCGCCCTTCGCATCCCCGCGTGCTGCCGCCCACAACTCCCCTCCGTCTTGACCCCCGGCCTCCCGTCGCGTGTATGTCCTCGCGTATGTATGTCCTCCCTCCCCCGCCTCCCGTCGCGTGTATGTATGTCCTCCCTCTTGCCCTCCTTGATTCAGATTTGACCAGGCCGTGGAGGATGACAATCTACGGGTGATGGGCGAATGTGCCAGGATCATGGCGGCCTTTGATAGGGAGAAGGCCATCATACAGGCACGGAGTTTGCGGACCTCCCTGTGCCGTTACGTGTTGATGTTCAATATGTGTCTCGGGCTTTGGAGGTCTGGGCCGGTTGCTTCTCTCTGGGGGTTTTAAGTGTGTGGGGTTTAGACATGCATCAGACATGCCTACAGACATTCATTCGGCGGGGGATTGTGTGGCGGCGAGGGAGGGGGTTTGTGTTGTGTGTGTGTATGTGTGTGTGTGTGTGGAGGTGGGGTGGCGTCAAGCGCTGCGGGGGCCAGCACCCCGTCTTGCTTCCCGCCCTCTTTTCCTCCCTCTCTCCCTCCCTCTCAACGTACCTACATACATACATACATACCTCCTTCCGCAGTTATCGATTTTGAATCTCGATAACACGACCTAAAATGATCCCCCTGTCCCCTCTTCTTTTCCCCTTCCCTAATCCCACAACCCTACACCCGTTTTCCCGCACCCCCCGTCGGTCTTACAGCGCTACATCTCGCTACTGCCGGTGTTTCAATCCTCAGTGGACGAGCTGACCTGGGTACGGGAGCCGGCAGTAGCTGCGGATGATGCGGTGGTTTCGGAGCGACTCAGACCGCTGTCGCGACTGTACGGCACGCTGGGGGACACGGTCGCGGTGGAGGTGGGTCGGGGGACGTGGCCGGGGAGGGACTCTGGGGAGGGGGCTTCACGCGACTTCGCATGATGTGTTTGTGTGTGTGTGTGGTGTTTGCGTGTGTGTATCCGTTTCATGAGTTTGTGCGGATGCGTATCTTATATTTGTGCGTGTGTGTGTGTGTGTGTGTGCGCGCGCGTGTGTGTGTGTGTGTGTGTGTGTTAGCGTGACAGTCAAGGGTGGAGGGGGAGGCCCTCCGCCGCGTCCACTGCCACGGCTGCCCACCCCCTTCTCCGTCAACCATCGTCTCCCTTCTTGGGCCCCCTCCCCACTTCCCCCTCCCTTTTCCCTCCCCCCCGCCCAAGGCTGGTCGTATGTCGTCCATCTTTCCGGACGCCCGTACGGCACTCCAGATGCTGGTGGCCAAGGTATTTGGGGACCGTGTGATCATGGCGTTGGAGAGGTGGGTGCGCGTTGGGGAAGGTAACGGGCGGCGGTGTGGGGTAGGGGTGGGGTGGGGGGTGGGGTAGGGGTGGGGTGTCTGTGAACGCGGGGTGGGGGGTCACAGTCCGTGAGGAGAGAAATACGGCAAAAGCTGGGAGTGGGTTTTGCGAGTCGTGGGGGAGAAAGAAGGGTGCGAAAGGAGGGGGAAGGGGAGGAAGGTGAAAGTATCGCATGGCCGAGAAACCCCGCGATGCGATCACTGCTCGAGCACCCCTCCCGTTTACTTCCCTCTGCCGTGCGTGCGTGTGACGTGTGACGTGACGTGTGTTTTACGTTCCATTACCCCGACCCCGCGTGCGTGAAACCCCTTCCGCTGGGCCCTCCACCTCCCGGTTAGTTCCTTATTTCGTGCCTCCCGTTAATCTTCGCTACTGCCAGGTTGCTAGAGGATACCTCAGAGGACGCCTTTAGCAGCAGCACCAGCTACAGCTCCGGCAGGCCGTTGGACGAGCTGGACGACGTGAATGAGGAGTACGGCAGCGATGCCGGTTCTGGGCGCTTCAGCCGCCGCCGCCGACGACGACGACGACGCGGTGGCCGCAGTGGCCGCGGCGGTGATAGCGGCAGCGACGACGACGATGATGACTATACCGACAGCAGCATCGAGAGTGGTAGCGGCGACGGCAGTAGCGATGACAGCGATGTCGGCGGAGGCGGTCGGCGGGGGAAGGGGCCGGCGGCGGCGGCGGCGGCGGCGGCGTCAGAGCGGCGGGGATCACCGCGACGTGGCACGACGGTGGTGGCGAAGCCGCTGCCGTCTGCCACCCGTCCGACGGGGCCCTCCATTACCATCCGTACTGGCCGTACATCAGTTTTGGATCTCCGCATGCGTCATGATCGACAATCTGGGGATGGCGGCGGCGGCGGAAGGGCCAGCGGCGGCGCCGGTGGTGTCGGCCGCCGCCGTCACAGCGACGGTGGCGACAGCGCCGGGCCTAGCGTTCTGGCGCTGCATTTATACCTGCGCCTGCTGGCGGCATCGTACGTTCGTACCAGAGAGCTTGCGGAACAGGTATCATCACCCCTTTCGAAATTTCGCTAATACCAGAACGGGTCTGTTTGTCTGTGTGTATGTCTGTATGTATGTATGTGTATAGCCTTTGAACACCCCCCATGCCCTCCCCCCTCTCCCCCCCTCTCCTCCTCCACAGGTGGACTCCGCGACGTCGGGCCAGGTGGATGTCAGCGGACTGGTGGGCGGTGTGTTTCAGCAGTTTTTGAAGCTGTATCCGGCTCCGGAGCTGCAGTGGCTGGACCTCATGGCGGAGAAGGATGTGAGAAGGCGGGGGGAGGGAAGGAGGGAGGGGAGGGAGAGGCGGAATCATATCAGTCAGATCATCATACCATTATATCATCACATCATTATATATCATTATATATCAATATATATATATATGTTATCATATCAATCACTACCAATCATATGCAAGAAGCAGCAAAGGATCGAATGTCGACGTCCAGCTCGTGCATTAAGCTGGTGTTGGATCCCAAAGGGAGGGAAGGGGGAGGGGAAAAAGGTGTGGGGTCGGTGGGTGGGGGGAGGGGACGAGGTAAGAAACACTGTCGCCCGGTGTGGCGAACACGGTAATGGGGAGAGCGGAAGGGGTGGGGTGAGGGCAGTGTGTTGACGGGGTGGGGTTTGGGCTCAATATGCATGTTTCCTTTTCGCTCGCTGGGTGTGTGTGTGTGTGGCGAAGAGGGGAAGGAAAAAGGGAAGGGGGGGGAAAGGAAGGGGTAGAAAAGTACAAACAGGACAACAAAAAACTGTTTTCGCTGTTGTGACCTAAAATGAAACGAGCGTGTATTGTGTGTGTGTGTGTGTTTTGCCGTACATCTGGTTCGCAGCTGGCGCCCGATTTCGATTCTGGGGACCCGCTCCATCGCCCCGCTCTCACCCTGGCCATTGCTGAGGGCCTTATTCGCCGAAATGCGGAAGCCGTACAGCGCTGCGCGCTGATGTGCCCGGCGGCCCAGGTGCCGTCATCCGTACGGTTGCTGTACGTCGGCGAGGCGCCGTACGACGGCAGGATGCCGGGTTGCCTCATGGAGCACCTACCCGGGTATGTACGACAATCATTTCCCTGTGTACGTGCGCAGGGGGAAAGGAAGTGAGGGGAGGGATTTTAGGGTTTCGTACGACGTGTGGGTCCGTTGCACCTGTACGGGAGGTTGGGGAGGGTGGAGTACTTTGGATAGGTCACAAGGTAATCTGCATTCCTTCAACTGCACGGAGTAGACATTGTTACATATCGGTAAAAGAAAGAGATGTTGGAAAAACATTTTAAAAAATAAAAATGGGAAGAAAAAAGATGTGGAGGATGTGTATAAATGAGGTGGTTGATACACAACTAACACACGTGTGGTGAGGTCGACTTAGGGTTTATTCCACCCCTCCATCCCGCCCCCCCCCTCCCGGTAGTTCGTCTTGCCCCCTCCCCCGCCTCTACTGGTCAGTTCTGCTTCTTGTACACTTTTCCCTTGGCAGCAGCTTTTCACTCGTTCGTGGTTCGTCTTTTGCCCCGGCCCCCGCCCCTCTTAACCTCTAACCCCACCCCACCCCACCCCCGATAGTTACCTGATCGCGGGTGTGGAGCGGGAAATGGAGCTCACCCTCCAACTGGACGGCCGCGGGGATATGGAGGCAGCCAACTTATACCGCCGACCACCACAACTACAACTACAACAACACGTGGTACGACAGCAAGGCCCTCCAGTGGCGGCGGCGCCGCCACTACCTCCGCCGCCGCCGCCCAGGCCGCCGGTGACACGCGCCGCCGCCGCCCAGGCCGCCCAGGTGGGCGGGTGGGCGAGAGGGGGAAGGGGGGACTGAGTGGTGGGTTTTGGATCTTGGAATCTAAGGGGAAAATCGGATCCTATACAAGGTAGTTTGCGGGGTTTGGAAAGGATTGGGGTTTTTAGAGGGAGCGGAAGTTGCGATCTGGACCGCGAGTTTTCTTTTCACCCAACCCCTGCCGTACACCCAACCCCTCGTCGCCCCACGTCTTGACCCGTGTTTCAACCCGCCGAGCTCATCCTGACCCTCATCCTCTCCTGTTTCCAGGCTTACGTGGCTGTACGAGTGGCCCCGGTGCTTTGTGCCGTACAGTACAGCAGCCAGGTTGTTAAGCGGTTGCAGGAATACCACGTGAAGGTACCGACGGGCAGGTTGGGGGGCCGAGTGTGTATGTACGTATGTATGTATGTACGTGTGTATGTATGTACGTATGTATGCGTGTTAGGCGGGGAATGGGGTCGGGAGGACATGTAGGTGGAACGTATGTGTAAGTGTGGCGGCCCCGGCGGGGGTGGGGCGGGGGATATGATGTATCACACACACACATACACATGCACAGATCCAAATGCGCGTAGGTGCCACTGTGTGTGTGTGTGCCTTCCTGTTTGTATGTGTAATCCCCCCTTTCCCCCCTTTCCCCCCTTTCCCCCCTTTCCCCGCGCATCAGTCCATATCCTCCCCGGCATCAGCTCCATTCATTCACGTGGTTCGTCCTCCCCCCTTGCCTCCCTCTCCCAGGTAATTCTGCCCCCCCTGGAGTCCTCCGCCCCGGAGGTGTCGGCCTGTGCTACGGGTCTGACCCTGGGTGTTCGGGCTGTGGAGGGCGCGGTGCTGTCGGTGATGCACGCGCTGGTGGACATGGTGGTGATCCAGGTGTGTGTGTGGGGGGGTAGGTGGTGGTGGGGGGGTGCGCCACGACGGGGGCTGAGGGGCTGCTGGGGATGCGAACCAAACTCAACCACACTCTGTCCCCCAAAACACACACACACACACACAACCATATCTCATGATGACGGTGACCATGATGATGATGATGATAATAATGACGATAATAATGATGATGATGATGATGATGATGATGGCGATGATGTTATCGCGAAGGCCGAGAAGGTTCTCATGTACGAGCAACGGCGGTCGGAGTTCCTCCCCCCCGGAGATCACCTGGATGCCGTACTGCTGGACAGACCTACAGACGCGTGTTTGCTGGTTTGTGCTCTATTTGAGGCACTGGGCAAGGTGGGCCGCTTCTGCGTGTATCTGTCTGTATGTCTGTCTGTTTATCCGTTTTAACATAGTTACGACTGCATTTGAGCCGCCATGTACGAGCGCCTTTGTTGCTAAAGCACCAGCCGGCTGTGTGTCCCACTCATCAGCTCCTCCTTCCCCCTAGGAATCCCAAACCCCCCAAACCCCTCTCACCCCAAACCCCCCAGGTTGCACGTGACAGTCTGTACGGCAGCAACTTGAGCTCCTTCCTGCTGGACGTGGGACTTCGAATGCATGCCACCTTCCTGAATCACATGCAACAATATGTGTATAACGCTGCCGGTGAGCGCAGGGAGGCCTCATCCCCAAGAAATAAATACAAATACACACACGCACACGCACATGCAAACCTGGCGTGTGTGTGTTCATCTTGCGTGTGACCTCTGAGCTGCGAGCAGGGCGTGGCGAGGATGGCACCGGCTATACGTGTGTGTATGTATGTATGCATGTATGTGTTTGTATGTACGGGGCAGTATGTGCATGCACACGTGCATTTGCATGTGCATGTACACACACGGATAAACAGTTCCTATAAATGAACACCGTCAAAAGTCGTTGCTTGTAAACGAAATGAAGGATTTTTCATGTAGAATTTCCATAATTTTCGCGTCGAATCATTTTTTTGCCTCTGTTTGGAAGGCCACCGCCTTACCTTGTCCGCCCATCCACCCACCCACCCACCCACCCATCCTCCCGGGCTCTCCTCAGAACTCTACGGGCACCTGGCACTCTCAACTCCCCCCCTCAAAACCCCTCTCCCCATCCCCCCGCCCCTCCAGGTGCGCTCCGCTGGCGCAATGACGTGGCAGCTTACTGTGATGTGTTTCGGAGCTGGGGTCTGCCCTTGCTAGACAGCCGCTTGGGGGCCGTGGGGGGTTTGGTGGGGATACTGGTGGTGGAGCCCGATCAGCTGCTACCGCTCATTAACGGGACCCTAAGACTGGATCACAGGTTTGGGGGCTTGTTGGGGGTTACTGGGGGGTTTCGGAGGCTGAGGAAAGGGGAGGAGTAAATGCGTGTGTGTGTGGGGGGGTTGGGGTGGAGGCGGCGCGGAATGGGCCCCGGGGGTGTGGGAGGGGGGGATGTTAGGGGTTTTGAGGTGGCGGTGGAGGAACGAGTAGCTTCTGTGTGGTGCTGTGCAGTTGTAAGGACTGTACTTGTGCTCGTGTGTACGTGCTGTCGTGTTTGTTCGGTGTATGCTTGCGTGTAGGAATTGATTCTTCCAGGATTCGTTTATACGTCGTTGTACAACATGTTACAGAACTGAGCCGTTCCTCTGTGTGTATACATTCCTCGTACCTATCTATTCGTCTAACTACTTATCTACGTCCCTCCAGGGAGGCCATCAAGTACGTCCGGCTGCGTCAGGACTTCCACACGGCCCGAGTACAAGGCCGCGCCCTGCAGCAAATATTTGGAAGCGAGGATGCCGTACCCGGACAGCCGGCAGTAGCAGCAACAGCGATAGGGCCCGGCGGCGGCGGCACCGCCACCGCTGCCGTCGCTGGCGGCGGTAGCAGGAGATGACGACCCGGGTGGGGGCGGGGGTACTGTGGGGATTTGGGATTTGTGAGGAGCGAGGAGGAGCGAAGGGGGAGGCGGGAGGGGTGAGCGAAGGGGGAGGGGGGAGGGGGGAGCGAAGGGGGAGGGGGGAATAGGGGGAGGGGGGAGCGAAGGGGGAGGGGGGAGGGGATTTTGTTGGGAGTAGCGATGTTGGGGGTCGTGGAGGACGCAGGGGCGGCGTGGGGGTGCCGGGTGTTCAGGGAGCTGCTGGGTGTGAGTATCTATGTATGTATGTATGTGTGTATATGTATGTATTCGTGTATGTACGTCCGGATGCAGTGGGTTCGAACACAGTGGTGGTGGTGGTGGTGGTGGGGAGTTGTGGGAACGGAAAACGAGCAGTGAGATGAGTTGTGTTGCGTTGCGTGGGTGCTGCTGCTGCTGCTGCTGCTGCTGCTGCTGCGCCTGTGCTGCGTTTATAGGAGGCCCCCCCTTCTGGCTGTGGGGTTGACGGTGGCGGTTGTTATGGTGGTGGGGATGTCTGCTAGGGGTTGTGGGCTTTTGGAGCTTTCGTCGAGAGGCACCTCGCGCATAGCAGCATAACAGTAGTCGGAAGCGGTCCGGAGTGATTTCGTTTTGTGGAACTGTGTGTGTAAAATGGAGAAGTCGTGTTCGCGGGGTAAGTATACTGCGACATGAATGTGCACGGCGCGGTGTTCGACCTGGTGGACGGTGTTGACATCTCCACCACCAGCACCAGCACCACCACCACCACCACCACCACCATCACCACCCCAAACATTTCCGCTTTGCGTCCCCCCCGCCACCATCGTCATCATCATCGTCATCATCATCGTCATCGTCATCGTCCCCCCGAGGCCCTTCTCTCCCCGGGTCACGTGGTTCAACATCACCGCCATCGTGCGTAATCATCATCGCCATCATCATCGCCTTGAACGACGAGGATGCCTCACACTCTTGGGATGTAATCCAGTGTTCGGGTTATACAGACAAACAGACAGACAGGCATGCGGACAGCGCTGCTGCTACAACCGGTAGTGAATTGTTAGGATCCCCACGACGTAACACCAATCAAATTAAACCGGTAGATTTAGCGCTCTTCGAGTGTAGGGGTGTTGAAGATTTCGGTGAGATAAATTCTGGAGAGGACGAGGTAGGGTAGGAGGTCAGAGGTAGCCCAGTCGGCGGGCCCCTAATCCGGCGCGAGCGACCACCCGGACTGGGGGATAGACGCCATCGTTGTTTTGGCCTTATGATAAATAGGATGTAGCAAACTGGTAACTAATACTTGGTTAGGACGTGGCAGCAACCTGAGGCTGGGGCTTCGCGAAAAAATAAGATCCACTTTGCGAGTGCGCATGAGGACGCGGGTGGAATTAAGTCCTTAAGTCTTGTCGTGGAAGTAAAGGTTTTGAGTGTGCTTAGAGTGCTTAGGAAGAGAGGGATAACACTAGGGAGAGGAATTTCGAGAGCCGCCGCGCCCAGAAGTTGGGCTGACGCGCCCATATGGCCAAATGAAGCGATGTTTCAACATCTTGGGGTAACAACAGACCGAGGCCTATGGCGGAGAATGGCAATATATTCTAATCCGTTGAAGAAACGCGGCTTTGTTGCGTCGCTAGATTTTTTGTCGTGACTCATGCGGATGTCAGCAGTCTGCAAAGCGAGAACAGCAAACGAGGATGATACCGCTTGCTGTATTGCTGTAGATGTTTTATTTTGCAAACGCTGATATTGAACTAGATTTAGATGACTCTCTTCCTTTCACAAAAACCACCGCTGAGTTTCTAATACAAGCAACAGTCGTCGATGAGGTAGTGCGATGATGGCTGTGAGAACAAATATAATTTCCTTTCCCTTTTCAAGTCTGCAACTACTGAGAGCACAACTGCTATCAGGGCTGTAACTGTTATTCTTATGACTTATGGGTCGTAGCAAAGTCACCTCTCGGTAGTTGATGACGCATGCAACATAGCTTCTTTATGTTCACCCTAAATAAATTGCTATTATTGGCGGGAAACTGATGTAGGCATGTGCTGACGTGTATCCACTCTTTGTATCCATGTTATGGGATTTTCATGGATACAAAGAGTGGTTCGACCAGCAAACACGTCGCGGTCTCTTATTCGTCGGTAACGATGCAAAAGTTGTTACCAGCAGCAATTTTGATCATAAGTGTCACTTCTGCCTTTTCCTCACTACTCGCGGAATGGCCGAAAAGGTGAAACGACCTTTGACAAAAGCTAAGCAAATCTATTACAAAAATATTCAATATGATGTTACAACCGGATGATCCGTTCCGTTCCATCTTTGGCGTCCATGGCTGCCGAGGGCCGTTGATAGCGGCGGTTAAGCTTCCAGCTTTAAAATAAATATATATCTTAAGCTTATAGAATAGGTTTAAAGTTCGCATATATAAACGTTCCGCACGAAGCTGTCTTCTGGCTTAAGTACGTAGACGTGCATACGGATGGCTGTCGTACCTATTCCGTTCCAAAGGAAATAGTCCGGTTTCTTGGTTGTTTTATTTTTCAAACTGCTGCTTTTAGATGAACGGAGGGACCGCACAAGGTGCGCCGGTTATCAACGCCGATATGGCAACTCCAGGTTCACAGCCTCTGGGTCCGGGGACGGAAAGCCCGCGAAGTTCTGTTAAGGTGTGGCACGTAAAATGCAATAAAATTCAATATTACTTTGCACAAATGTCTACACTTTGTCTTCTTGCAGCAGCAGCGTATCGAAGGTAACCAACCGCATTCCGGTCCGCCATCGCCATCGTCTGCACCAACAGCCTACAGCCTATTAATGGCGGATGTACAGCAGAGTGGCTTCGGCGGCGGCGGCGGAGGAGGCGGAGTAAACGGCGCCCGGGGGAGCATGGAGCGTTCCTCGCGGCTGCTGCCGCTGCGGCAAGCTATCTTGGCCAATAGCATCGTCAATAACCAATACAATGAAGATGCTGGTGATGAAATTGAGGATATTGCTAATGGCGGCGTGGCGGACGCTAACCACTGGGCCGCATCCAGCTTGCTCATGCGCACGAAGTGCAACGGAGCCGACAGCAGTACTCATGGTGAAGCAATAAGCGAAGAACTTAGGCAGTCTCAGCATAATGTGGAGGGCGCAGTTGCGATGGAATTGGTCGGCAGACGCCCACCGCGACGGAAGCGCAGCCAGCAGCTTACCTGCCCCGGGCCTGAAGAGGCTCCGAAGCACATCGGCCTTTGGGCAGACTTTTGGCAACAAGCTAAACAGCAGCTAAGAGTGAGTGTGGTTGCATGCTTCAGAGATGTCGTACGTGTCCCTGGATGGTTGGACCCCGCAAAGGAACAATGTAGAAGTACGGATATGTACGGATGCTCGTAAGACCCTCCGTTCCACTTCTTCCCTTTCCCACGCACGCCCCTGTCCCCTTCCCGAACAACTATACACATGCGCATGTGAACGTCACACACACACACACACACACGTACATCGCCCTACGGACGGACGTATACGCCAGTTTTACAAGGATGCAGCGGTACGGAAATGGTGGATCCTGGCGGTTCCGTTGCTGCTGTGTCTGCTACTGGTCGGGTTGGGTGTGTTTGGTGTCGTATATGCCGCCACTCAAATGACGGAGCAGCAGCGGGACTATGTGAGAGGTGCACTTGCCTCCACGGCAATCGGTACGGTGGCCGGGCAGCTGGAAATTGCCACATTTGGTGAGTTTTATGGGTGTATGTATGTTTGTATGTCTGTGGGGGGGGAAGAGAGGGGAGGTCAGGGGGAGGGTTAGGGAGGGGGGCGACCTGCGGGTTATCAAGGGGGCCAGCTGGGGGGGGGATTAAGAGGGGTTGTGGCAGGGTGGAGGAGAGCTAGGTTAGGGTTTAGATTTTAAGGTGCCGGGACAAACAAGTGCCGAAGTGTGCGTGTGTAAGTATGTATGTATCTAGCATGTGTGTATGTAGATGTGTATATATGTACTTATGTGCATGGTACTTCATGTCGTGGGGAGCGTACAGCCCTCCCATACCACCACCCCCCCTCACAGCCGATTTCCCACCCGCCCCGGACATTCCCCCACCCGCCGCTGGCACCTAGCATCTGCGACTTCCTGTTGTCTTGGTATCCTCACCTGGCATTTGCGACCTGCCTGCCGTAACAGCCTCCTGCCATATAACTGATTCGCGTAGTGCAGTTTTATTTTTGCGCCTCCCCTAACCCCCTTGTCGTCGTTTCTCTTTTCCACGCGTGTGCGCGTGTGTGTGTGTATGCAGCCGTTATGACCCTCAGCGCCTTCCTGACTCAACGACCCAACTGTACGGAATTGGATACCGGCTACAACCAGTTGGCGAGTGTGATTTTTCAGTGGGTAGGTCAGTGGGCGACATTTCGTACATTTCGTACATTTTGTACAGAGACGAGCTGACCCCCTAGGTGGGCTGGGGAAATGCGAGGTGGGGTGAGGGCGGGGAGAGGGTGTTTCGGAACAGTGTTTTAAGAGGTTGTGGATGTAGACGTGGACGGTACAGAAAGGGGTATAGTGCGAGAGAGGGGGAGGGAGAGGAAAGAGGGAGGTAAAGCGGGGCTCTTGTCTTGCCTTTGAGGCGCTGCTGGGGAATGATGTTTGTGTATATATCACTATGTTTTATTAATATTTATCATAGAATATATGTAATGTATTTATTATAATTTCACACCGCTTCCTCTGTTACTACTCCGCCTTCTACCCGCTATTGCAACGTAAGCCGCACATTTGTGAATTCTCACATGCAGGACGCCAAGCAGGCTGTGTACCAGCTGCAGGCCATGCCTGCCGCGGTCGTCAAGTACATCCACCCGTACCCGAATCCGGAGCTCGCCAAAAAACTCATTGGACGAGACATTCTGTACGAGGCGCAGTACAGGAACGACACAATCAAGCAGATTCAGGCCCGTGATCAGCGACTGCTTTTGGGGCCTTATGACCTGCTGGAGGGATTCAAAGCAATGTGTAAGTGTATGTTGGCGGTTTGTGTGCGTCCTTGAGCTGTGTGTGTGTGTGTGTGTGTGTGTGTGTGTTGGCCCAGGGGTGGTTAGTGGCCTTCACCGGTGTCACCCGCGATAGCGTTCCCTTTCCCCTTTCACGGTGGTGAAACCCTGGAGGGGCTTCCTAGCCCTTTCACTCTGTCGCCGACTGCTCCTTCACTGCCGACAGATTCGTGTCTGAACTTGTGCATCAGTATGTCAGTATGTCAGTATAGATGGACGGATGGACGCGGAGCGTGCTCCTGCTCGTATCATCATACACATCTGTATGTGCGTGTGTGTATGTATGTGGGTGCGTGTGTGTTCTTATCTCTGCCGCCGCGAGGCCGCCCCCCCCCACCTGGTTTCCACCTCCTTAGCCCCTCCTGCTTCCCCCTTTCCCCTTCCGTCCCCCCTTCCCAACTCCCTCCGGACGCAGTCGTGACGTATGCCGTTTTCCTTCCCGCGCCTGACCCACTGCACGACTGGGGCTGTGGCGTACAGCCGTACAAATGCCCACCAGACACCTGTTGGTTGCCTGATGCGGCCAATCCCGGTGGTTACTTGAAGCTGTGGGGCATGGCCACAAGTCTAGTACGATTGGACGTGCTCAAGGTACGATCAACTGAGCACGCTGGCCCATTTCCAACCGTCCTAACGGTCTTCGGCATATCCAGCTATGTCGGTATATACACGCGGCACTTCGTTGGGGGGCCCCCTGGAGGACGGGGCTGCACCGGTGTCCTCTATACGCGGAATCCCCCGTTCCCTCTCCGCTTACAGAGTAAAGCTAACACACACAAGTAGTCCTTTCTTTACCTGATTCAAAAATCTCCTCCCTTTCCCTGTCCCCCCAAGCACACACAGAAGACATACACACAGGCATACAAACACACACACACACACGCACACGCACAAACCCCTCTCCATCACCCCCCCCAAGCACAGGAAGGTTTCGGTTTCCAAACCTATGAGGAACAGGGCTACCATTTCCGACTTCGACAGCTGCCAGATAACATCAACCGCGAAGCTGTTATTGACGGTACGGCAGAACCACCCCGGGATCCCGTAACGCTCACATTTCAAAAGTACAACCTCCAATGGGTTTTTGAAGTGGCGCCGGCGGCGGGTTGGGTACCGGCCTGGCGGGACCCGTGCCTTGCTGCGGTTATAATTGGGTCGGTTGTGGTTTCGTCGCTGGTTTTGTGGCTACTCCTCACCCGTGAAAAGCACAACCTGCTACTGCGGGCGATGCTTCCCAGAAAGGTGGGGAGGGAGGGAGGGGGGAGGGGGCCGCGGGGGGGGGAGGGGGAAGTGGGGGGCAAAGAAGGGTTGCGTGAGAGGGGGATGAGGCCACATATACAGTACGGTGGCTTGTGAAGTGGGGAGTGGAGCTGCGGGGGTTGGAGATATAAGCGGTGTAGTTTTGGGTGGGGGGTGTTTTAGGGGTTGAGGTGGGGTGCGTGTGTGTGCGTGTGTGTATGTGTACAATATTCCGTTCCGATCCGGTTTTTCCGTTGTGTGTCCTGTGCAGCTATCTATCCTTCCCGGTCAGCGTTGAATCATTCGGCATTCGGCGTTCGATGGATCCACCCATCGTGCACATCCCTACCTCCACTCACACAGGGGGGCCAGGGGGGTCGCTGCTGCCTATCCTTCCGCTTCACGGAGGTCCAACACGTCCTTCCGCACGCAAACGCAAACGCAAAAGCACACGCACACGTCTCTTTGGCCGCTCCCTTTGGCCGCTCAGGGCACTGGACAATAGCGATGCGCGCTTGCCCTCCTTACGACATGCACACATACATACCTAACTGCCTTTTCCCCCCACATACATACATACATACATACACACGCGCAACCTAAAACCCACACGACTCCCACCACGCAGGTTATTCGTCAGCTCCAACGAGGCGAGCAAACGGTGGTGGAGGAATATCACGACCCAGTTACGATTCTTTTCACGGATATCGTGTCGTACACGGAAGTTGCTTCCCAACTGACACCTCTCCAGGTGGTTAGGTTGCTCAACGACCTGTACACTGAATTCGACGCACTAACAGACAAACACGGCGTCTACAAAGGTGGGTCGGGGTCTTCTGCAAGAAGCAGTGTATTGTGTGTAAAGACGTACGGACGTACGGGTGCATGTGCACTACCTGGATTTAATGATCCGCCTGAGCCGCGTCTTAGTACAGATCGTCAAACAAAAAGAGTCCCGCGAGCTATATGTTCACCTGCCACGTTTGCGGCCCCCAACACAACCAGAATATATTTCATTATTAGCCATTAGGGATCGGCCACCGGGGATGCTCCAGGAGGGGGCCGTCGTAGGTGGGTTGATGGACAGGTGGGTGATGGACATCATTCCAGGTCGTGTTGAGCTGAAGTGTGCCAGCTCTAAAAGCTCTTGAGTGTAGGCCAACGTTTTAGAGGACCAGAAGGCCAATACCTTAGAGATATCACCTAGGGTGCAACCATAGCCGTGTGTCTTCGGCGGGGTGCAGTTGAGTACCCACATCGCCGTGTTGGACATCTTACATCTCCACATGCAATCCGAGTGCCCGTCTTCGTTGTTTTGTTTTGCCCGTCGTTGTAGTAGTACTGCCAATTTCTTTCCTCGAAACACTCGCTCGTTTGTCCGTTTCATTATCTTTCCTTTTGTGGCCCAACCGTCATCAACTGTACAACTGACAACCAACTGATCCAATCGCCTGCGCTCCGGAAATGTGTACGGCGTCCTGTCTGACTGCCTGGGTGCGTGTATGTGGCTTTCCGTACGGCCGGACGTACGGCTCCTGTACGACCTGCAGTGGAGACAATTGGTGACGGTGAGGAAGCGGTTGGACTTCGGGTGTTTCCCCAGTCAGTTGGTTCGTTGGTTGGTTGGTTGGTTGGTTGGTTGGTTGTGGTTTTAAACGTTTTGGTGTTAGTTCCTGTGACACCTGAGGGCATCTAAGGGCACAGAGGGGAGAAGGCGTTCCGCGTGTGTGCGGTGTTTCTGGTTACCTAGCTTTCGCGCC